TAACATGTTAGCCTCACCTAGCAGTATTTGCAGTAGTTGCCTTCCTGATAAATGTGGAAGTGCCATTCAGCGGTCATGCGGCAATATATCTGACTCCTGCGACATATTGGTGGACACCGGCCGCTGCGGATCCACACCAATATGTAGCCCCACATCCGCCTATGCTACTGTGCGTGTGACGTCACGTAAAGGATGCGCATAGACGTTCTGGGGTCAAAGGCCGGGTACGGCCAAACTGATCTGAAGGAGACTAATTTAAACTCCTCTTCTCCTTTTACTCACTGCCCTGTCGTGGTTTCCCTTAGTGGTTGACCGAGCGTTCCTGAGCGTTTGTTATTCTGGTTATTGACTTTGGCTTAGTTTTGACTTCCCTGTATTCTGGTATCCCTGACTTTTGGCTTTCCCTTGTCCCGGACCCCGGCAAGTATTCTGACTATTCTTTGGTACATTAAGTCCGGCCATTTTTAGGCCCGTTAAGACGTTACCTTCTAGTCCTAGGTGTGATACAGTTCTACGTGCAGGATCAATTAGTAATCCTGCCAGTGAATGTGTGTGAATGAATATTACTAAGTGCGTATGATTAGTGAATGCGTTTTTAGTGAGTGTATGTGTGTGAATGATTATTTTTTGTGTGTAAATTATTATAAGTAAGTGCATTTGTGTGAATGAGGATTGGTGCAGAACCCAAGAAACAATGGTTGTCAAGGACAAACCCCATAGCTCCAGTATGTTCAAATTGGCATTTTATATTCACTACATATGAAAGAACAATAGGCCACGCTGGTCTCCATAAATCGCACGGCGTGACAGTCAAACACAGCCGAGCGCTCCCCTGAGCACCTATATCAGCTCACTTAGATTGCATTGTATGATTTTGGAATATTTCACATGCATCAATCCGTTTTATAATTAGACGGAATCAATACATTTCTAATTAAAATTTTCAATTATGATCTGTAATTAAGAAATGAAAAAAACAAACAAAAAACAAACGTGATACTTATGAAGAATGTGGGTTTTATAATCCAATAGTGAATTATTAGATGAATATTGCGGTCACAGAGGCCCGCCGTGTCTTAATAGCCACAAACGCTGCAAACTTTACTCGCAGAGCGGAAACCACCTTAATATTCCTCTTGTACCCAAAGTTTAATCATGAAAATAATAACATTAAATACAGAAGCTTGTGTGGACTAAAGTGATGGGAGTTGTTGCCTGCCGCTTGCATAGAGACAAAACGAGGAGCTGCACTCACTAACAGGGCTATTAACTAAAGGAAATGTTAACTACCGGTATAAGCTGGAAATAGCCAAATGGGTCAGCAATACGTTCACTTCTTCTCCTCTACTTTGAATTTTCAGTTCAGTAAATAACCCTGTATGGTATTCATAGACTAAACACTGAATTATGGTGAATTAAAACCCAAACTGCAAAACTGATTATAAGGTAGCCAGTCTGTAACTGTAGCTAAGTATTGCTTCATTGTCCTTCGTTTCAGGGTTTAGTGAGTGAACCCCTACATGTTGAAGCCTGTGAAGCCATTCTAATGCAGATCATTGATACCCCTTAGTGGGTCGTCACTGTGCTGTAAGGGATAAATTGTGTTCATGGAAGTTGTATTTAGTGAATTAGCAGAAACGCACATTACATAGAGACAATACACACACACAGACAGTACACAAACATGCACACTTACACACTACATAGAGACAATACACACACACAGACAGTACACAAACATGCACACTTACACAGCACACATTGCATAGAGACAATACACACAGACAGTACACAAACATGCACACTTACACAGCACACATTGCATAGAGACAGTACACACAGACAGTACACAAACATGCACACTTACATAGAACACATTGCATAGAGACAATACACACAGACAGTACACAAACATGCACACTTACACAGCACACATTGCATAGAGACAATACACACACAGAGACAGTACACAAACATGCACACTTAAACACTACATAGAGACAATACACACACACAGACAGTACACAAACATGCACACTTACACAGCACACATTGCATAGAGACAATACACACAGACAGTACACAAACATGCACACTTACACAGCACACATTGCATAGAGACAGTACACACAGACAGTACACAAACATGCACACTTACATAGAACACATTGCATAGAGACAATACACACAGACAGTACACAAACATGCACACTTACACAGCACACATTGCATAGAGACAATACACACACAGAGACAGTACACAAACATGTACACTTACACAGAACACATTGCATAGAGACAATACACACAGACAGTACACAAACATGCACACTTACACATAACACACTACATATAGACTATATACACACAGACAGTACACAAACACACTGCATAGAGACAATACGCACACACAGACAGTACACAAACATACATACTTAGCGAAAAGAGGGTACCCTACCCGCTGGTAGAATGTGGCCCGCTGTGCCCTTAGCTGTGTTACAGGATAGAAATTCTATGGGACTGTAAGCAGTGAGTGCGACTCGCAGGCCGGTTTATTTGCTTCCTTGCCTGTGATATACTTACTTTGTGTACATATTGCCTGATGTGTTATTGAACCCATGAATTGATTTCATTGACCCAAAGAAGGTCTTTGTTTTCTGTGTGCTTAAGGCGCCGTTTGAATCTCTCTAAATATATTAACACCTCAAAAGATCAATTAATAGCTCTCGTTGTACTGCACTGCGGAATATGTTGGTGCACTACACTCTGATCAGCCACAACATTAAAACCACTGACAGGTGAAGTGAATAACGTTGATTATATTGTTTCAACGGCACTCGTCATGGGTGGGATATATTAGGCAGCAAGTGAACAATCGGTTCTTGAATTCCATGTGTTGGTAGCAGCAAAAATGGGCAGGCAAAAAGATCTGAGTGACTTTGACAACTGCCAAATAATGATGGCAACACAACTGGATCTGAGCATCTCTAAAACAGCAGGTCTTGTGGGGTGTTCCTGGTATGCAGTGGTTAGTACCTACCAAAAATGGTGCAAGGAAGGACAACCGGTGAACTGGCATCAGGATCATGGGCACCAAAGGCTCATTGATGGAGAGTGAAAGCTAGCCCGTCTAGTCCGATCACAATGTAGAATTACTGCAGCTCACATTGCTGAAAAATGCAATGCTGGCCGTGATATAAAGGTGCACTATGGGAAGAAGGCAGACCGGAGGAGGCAGTGTTATGCTCTGGGCAATGTTCCCTGGGAAACCTTGGGTTCTGGCAATCATGTGGCTGTTACTTTGTACAAACTTGCGTACAACCTACCTTGACATTGTTGCAGACCACATATACCCTTTCATAGCAATGGAGTTCCCTGATGGCAGAGGCCTCTCAGCAGGATAATGCACCCTGCAACACTGCAAACATTGCTCAGAAATGGTTTGAGGAACATGACAAAGCGTTTAAGGTGTTGCCTTGTCCTCCAAATTCCCCAGATCTCAATCTGTGGGATATGCTGGAACAACAAATCCGATCCATGGAGGTATCACCTCGCAGCTTGCAGGACTTAAAGGACCACTATAGGCACCAAGACCACTTCAGCTCAATGAAGCGGTCTGGGTGCCAGGTCCCTCTAGGATTAACCCTGCCTGCTGTAAACATAGAAGTTTCAGAGAAACTGCTATTTTTACATATGGGTTAATCCAGCCTCTAGTGGCTGTCTCATTGACAGCCGCTAGAGGCGCTAACGCGCTGTGATTTTCACAGTGAGAAGACGCCAGCGTTTATAGGAAAGCATTGGGAATGCTTTCCTATGGACTGGCTAAATGCGCGCACGACTCTTGCTGCACATGCACATTCAGCCGATGACAACCGAAGGAGGAGGAGAGTACCCAGCGGCGAGGCAGCCCGGCGCTGGTGAAAGGTGAGTGTTTAACCCCTTCCTCCCCCTTCAGCGCCACGTGAGTGGGACCCTGAGGGTGGGGGCACCCTCAGGGCACTATAGTGCCAGGAAAACTAGTTTGTTTTCCTGGCACTATACTGGTCATTTAAAGGATCTGCTGCTAATGTCCTGGTGCCAGATACCACAGGAGACATTCAGAAGTCTTCTGGAGTCCATGCCGCGACCCATCATTGTGGCTGATTAATGTTATATATATTGGTCAGTGGGAAGGCTAGAAAGATCCAGTTTAGACTCTCCATCGCTATAAACATGCAATGCTTGCACCAAAATAATTCTTAATCACGTCATGTGTTGCTTAATTCATATTTCTGCCAGGGCTGGTTAATTCTGATCGCTTCTCATGTGACTGAAGGCGAGGGCTGTCATTGAATAACAAAGCATTTAGAAAGGCTCGTTACACACTTACTTTGTGTTTGTTTTATGGTTAAAGCTATTGAATAAGTTGTAAAATGCCAGAAATGTCACATTTCATCTAATACCACTGCACTCGCTTTATGTTTTGCTTTTCAGACCAGCACCGTTTTATAATTATAACATTGATAACTCTGCTCAGCCTGTACTTGGTGTGCGCAGTAATTATTTATTTATTTTTTATATATATTTGAAGTTTTGGCATATTGCACATCGTGATAAAAACCAGACGGATCTGAACCTCTGATTACTGATTTAAGGAATTGGTGAGGGTTATAATATAAATATATAATAGATCAAACTGTAAGTAGGACTTCGGTGCCAGCTTGGTCACTGTGATTATCAGGATAGGAGTGTTTCACTTTAAAATATAATCAAATCTTAGCAGCTCCTATAAATCCTCCAAGCTGTACCTTAACCTTTTATTTAATTCTCCCTATAACTCCATCCCTAACTGTTGCTATAAATCAATACATTGTAACCAGCACATCTAGTCCAGCAATACCCCTTTATGTCCACTAGGTGGTGTCCCATTTCTCCATCCCCATCCTTTCCATGTCATTCTCCTCCTCCCTCCTCTCATCCCATCTCCTGGCTCTGTGTTCCAGTAGCATTCATTCCCTGCTCTCCATCCAGCGAGCAGCAAGTCTGAGCTCATCGAACCGTTCTACCAGGGACTGCCCATTGTGGGGGCAGCTGGGGCACATAAACTTTCTGCAGGGGCTGTGTGCATTAAACTTTACTACCCTGGGCATGGGGGCCAACCAGCACACTTTCCCAGAGCACCCCTCCAGTGTCTAACCTGGTGCTGGGCAGCCTGTGCCAGTTTCAGCCTTGGAGCTCACTCAGGATTATGGGAGCAATGATGCCTGGTGGATGCTGGCAGATCTGGATGTGGATGGCAGTTTTGGAGGTGCTGTGCCCAGCCTGGGCTCAAGGTTGGTACCTTTCCTAATGTACACAGTGTATGCCATCTTTACCACCCTACCTGTGCCCCCTGGGCATGATCTGAAGAGCAGCCAGCTGGGGTTAAAGGACTGTCCACATGTGGAAGGTTGTGTGGACCACCACAGTGACCACGGATTCTAATGTTATCATATCTGATGGCGCTATATAAATAATAAAATAATAATAATGAACCTGTTAGAGCTGTGTAACCCTTTCAGAGCTGGAATGGAAACTATCCATTTCAATTGGAGAACTGTGCTCATAGATCAATTTCTCATGTAGGCATTTACATACATGTATCCCATTTTATGGAACATGTGTGTCTCATAATACACGTGTGTACACACACACACATCCATGTAGTGTTTGTATGTGTATCCCGTAGTGTTTGTATGTGTATCCCGTAGTGTTTGTATATGTATCCCTGTGATAGAATATATGGGGTGCAGGGTATCGCATGCTGCCCTTTACCTCTCTAGGTGTTTAATGCCCCTGTGTACCCGTTCCCAGGGCTGCCAGTTAAACTCTGTCAGTTGCTATGAGTCTCAGCATGTCGCCTCCGCTATCATTGGTATTCCGAGCGTATGGTATACAGTATCCAGTGTGCTAGGCTGCTCGGCGCAGGAGGACATGGTGTGACAGCTCTGCTCTGTCTGCGTTACACAGCTCAAGTTTGGTGCCACTGTTAACCCCTTCACCATCCCTCCTACAGCCGGGCATGCCACTACCTGCAGTGGAAGATTACATCCCGTCGGAATGGTGTGTTGGGGGGGTCCTGCTTTGCTAATCACCTGGACTGTCACACAGTTTGCAGTTTGTTTGTTTTTAGGAATGTTGACAGATTGGCTCTGGAACCCAAGGGGTTAAATAGGCCCCCCCTTTGCAAGTAATCCGGCTATTAGCAAGCTAAACCGCATATAAAGCTGTGGTAGCAAAGGTTTATAGGAGTTGTAGTCTGCTGACAATGAGAGCGTAGGCTTTAACTGTCCAGTCTTCTAAAACAATTCGACAAAGTGACTGGAAATTCTAGACCAAAATTCTCAGCTATTTGGGCGCAAAATTTGCATTCCGCCATGTTTTGTGAATAGCCCCACAAGTGATTTATTATTATTATGTTATTATTTAAATAGCGCCAACAAATTCCGCAGCGCTTTATTAATGAATGAATAATCCACTAAATCATTGCTCCATGTGTTTCTCCTGTTTAGTACTGATAGAGTTAAGGGAGCCACATGTTTGCTCTGACACTAGAGAGAACGCATGTTGCAGTTATTGGTAGCGAGCTCCGTCCGTCTCAGGCGAAGAGATTGAAATGTTGCTCTGAGACGGGTATGTATGGAAATGGAACCGAATTCTCCCAGGCTCCAACTCATCACATCTCCTCGTGTTCTGCGGGAAAATTCATTGTATTCATTATATTACAGATAATAAACATTAACTTTGAACTTTCCGTGAAGATGAATAAAGGGAATTGTGCTGTTTTCCATAAAGCTTTGTATAATATACATATTGGTTTGTGATGTATTATTTAATAAGTGTCTCGTGCTGCCTGGCTTTCTCTTTACTAAGTCTATTAGTTTCCTCGCCCCGGAGGTGGTACAGTATGTATTATTCCGGAGCGGAACACAAAGTTTCTAAACATCAAGTTGTCGATGGACAGATTGGATGTTCCAAGCTAGTCTGTAAACCGGGTGGGTGATGCCATCTTTCTGCACCACGTGCCCAGCTTTGGTTCCGATACATGAGACACCCCTACATTTGGAAACTTGTGCTAAGTGAAGTGTAGATAAAGCATGCAAAGCATAATGGGGATTGTAGTTGAAGAGCTTAGGATCTGCTGTGGGTTATGATGTGCTAGGGCTAGGACTTTAAAGGTGAAAGGTGTGTTCAGGTCACGTTTTTTTTTTAAAGATGCTTACTTTGATATCTGTATAACAATAAAATATAACCACGTGCTATTGTGACAAGTTTACTACATTCCCAAGCTGAGTGCTAGAGCATTTACTGCAACATTTCCTGAGGACGGTGAGAAAGCCAGGATAAAACCCTTGTTTCAGCCTTTATGTTACCTGGAGCTTGCATTCATCCTGAGACTGCTCAAGGTGATATAATTTCGCATCATGATTGAGTACAAAGCCCAGAAACTGATACATCTCCATGGCAACATGCACCAACATGTAAAGTTCAAAAAAAGCACACAAAACAGAAATCTCGACAAACGACCTGAAAGGGGCTCAAAGCCTGACCTACTTACTGTCGACGTACACCATCATTATATTTCACACCACGGTTTGTGTTTTTAATCAATACTAATGGCCAATAATCTAAAGCCACCAGCCTGTTTGCACAATACAGACTCACAAAAGGGCGCTTGGCCTGTGTTAGTCATTAGAATGTATTACAGATCTCATGTGTTACTCACACGTCTCAAGTGTCAGTACTTGAAAATATGAAAAAGGAGGGAAAAAGACCCACCTGAGGTTGGATTTAATTCTTTTTTCATGCATACAACAGGTCGTAGAGACCATGCTGGCTGAGGTGGGACACTGACTGTCTAGCGTATTAAGCCCTGGACTCATATCTCGTATACTGCTTGTGAATACGAGAGAGAAATCACGCTATTAATGACTGACGAATCCTGTAGCATAGGAATTCTGTAGCGGATGGCATTGGGCTGTCCTCAGAATTATGTGTATTCGTATGTGTTCGGTTAATTTTTGCCATATGTATGTAAAGTGTATGCAGCATTCGGCTGATTGTTCGGTAAAATCACTCCAGTTATTATGCGAGTGAAACTACCGAACAATCAGACCACCACAGGAATAAGTGTGCCTCCAATTACCGTTCGCAACAATATTGCAAACGGGTAATTGGCAATTCATGCAGTGTGTGCTTTGTCCTCTGGTTGGCCACCATTCGGGAGACGAACACGTGGCGGCGGCCATCTTAAAATCCCGAACAGAGGTGTTTTGCCGTCGGGTGTCTGGAACCCAAATCGGACACTCGGTTAGGCAAACACCGCTGAGACCTCCACACTGCCGGCAATTTGTGTAGGAACTACCGAACGGATCCCCGTTCGGTAGAAAGAACCCCACGAACAAGGGGGTTTATCCGAATCCTCCCCAGTCTCCATAACCCAAGCCGTTCGTGTATTTTATTCCCTTTTTCTGACCAACCGCAGGGCCAAAATGTATGGAACCCCTTTCGGCTGTTAACTCCAGCGCGGTCGGTCTTTTTATTACCTCCAGGAAATTCCCGAACCCCTGGTCCGATCTGGGTGATTTTTGAATATGTTTCTCACCCAGATCAGGGCTACCAGGGGATGTGCCATTTAAAGGAGTACCCCTATGTTTAGGGGTACATCCAGAAAACCAGGGGAACTGTGTCCTGCATAATGAGATTATGAGTCATACTAAGGGGAGGGGATGTGTTGGTGGTAACTCGTGTATGATTGGTGTATTGTGTAATTACTGTAAATCCCTTCTTTGCATGGGAGAATGCTTTAAAAGACGCTTGTGTGATTAAAAGTTCAGTTCTGCTCCTGATGCTGTGTGTCGTCCAGTCATTGGGATTGATGTTGGAATATTGTTGGATTGTCTTTCCTGCTGGAATTATTGCCTTATGGATTTTTAATACTTGTTCCTGAGCCTCACTGGGATCTTGAGTGGAGATAACCTGTGGAATATCAGCTCTCCGCTACAAATTCTACATACCACAGGCAGAACTTTTCATGCACTGCTCATCGGCTTGAAAAAATGCCAAATGCCTGGGAATCCATAGTGAATTAGACGCAATGTCTCCTAGATGCTCAATGTTCTAATGTGAAATCTTCAGATTGTAACATAGTTTCCAAATTCAGCTAATGTGGTCGAAATTATCGAAGGCCAATTTGTGTTCGTTTTTGTTTAGTTAATGGAGCGCTAGGCTGTTTCTGCTGGTTGTGTTTGATGTCTGTTTGTATTACAGGTATTATACCGGCACTGTACTGTATGTATTACAGGTATTATACCGGCACTGTACTGTATGCAGGGCCGGATTAACATAGGGGCTGATGGAGCTGCAGCTCCAGGCCCAGGCCCAGGCCCATGGAAGAGGCCCATTGATTTATAAAAAATATATATATTTTTTTTTTTTTCACACACTACTCTTAGGGATTCCACCTGGCTTTTATTTTATTGGCACAGCCAGTATTTGAGGCTGCCTGGCTGGTTCCAATATTGCAGTGATACTGGCAATACAAATGCTGGTATTTTTCTCAGTATAAACAAGAGATTACTATGCAATACCAGCACTGGCCAGTAGGGGTCACTGTGTGTGTGGAGACAGGCAGGGATAGGAAGTTCCAGCATATCCCTCCCTGCCTAGCTATACTCACTGATCTGCATGGGTGCAGCTACAGAGAGTCCAGACAGCAACTCCCACCCTGCAGAGACAGCCTACAGCTCAGGGCAGTAAGGGATGGGGGAAAGGCTGCAAGGAGACATTCACTGAGACACTAATGGACATTGGTAGACATTATGACACAGACACATGGGGACACAGTGTACCCATGTCTCCCAGCCAGTGTCCCTGGTGTCTCACTGTCCCCATGTCTCCTAGTGCCTCCATGTCTCCCAGTGCCTCAAGTGTCTCAATGTCCCCATGTCTCCAAGCTAGTGTCCCTAGTGTCTGTGGCCCTGGTGTCTCCTTGTCCCCATGTCTCCCAGGGCCCCATGTCTCAAGGTCCCCATGTCCCCCAGCCAGTGTCTCTAGTGTCTGTCTCCCCATGTCTTCAAGTGTCCCCTATTTTCCCAGTGTCCCCATGCGTCCCAGCCAGAGTCCCCTTGTCTCCCAGTGTCACTGGTGTCTCCGTGTCCCTAGGTCTCCCCGTCTTCCTAGTGACATGGGGACCCTGGGATACATGGGATCACTGGGAGATCTGGGGACACGACACTAGGGGACACTGGGAGACATGGGGTACGGAGACACTGATACATAGGAACACTGAGAC